CATTTCTGCCAGCTGATCTTGAGACAGGGAAGTGCTCCAAAATTACTAACATCATCCAGCCTTCTGGGAAGCAACTGCACTGAATAAGTTAAAGCTAAGTAAGTGTTCACCACCATAAAGCAATGGCATTCAGTAGAGAAGAACCTCTGATACTTGTTCAGCAGATTTTCTTCTCTATGGCCCACCAGAAATAAGTGGCAAACATACCAGCATCCTCATGCGCACCAGCCAGTGTCACCACAGAGAGCAAGAAGCCCCTTGACGCTGGAACTGGTACAAGAATTCCTTTGGTATTTTTTTGCTTTCTGAGTAATTGAAGCATGAGCTGCAGCAGTACTACTGACACAGAAAACAATTCTACAACTGATTCTATATGCATCCCTGTATGGTGTGGGAGTTTTATGACAGGAAAGTGACAGGATACAATCTGGTAACACTCTGTACTCCAGCTCCTTCAAGGATGTGGTCCACTGAAATCAATGGGCTTTCCAAAGCTCTTAAGGTCAACCAGACTATACTTTCCAGGCACCTAAATATCCTGTCAGTGTCTACTCCTATCCTCAAACCCCCAAAAAGTTCTCTGCAACAACTTATTCTGAAACAACATTCACATGCCATTCAGAATAGGTAAAAAAGAACATTACCATACAGAAGACCTAGCACTGATCCTTAAGAAAGCATTATTTTTTAATTTTATTAAACTAAATGCATGTGATTAAAGAGTAATCTATCTTAACTAGATTTGTGCAAGATGTTACTGAACCCGGGAAAACAGATACCAAAGTATCTACTATAAACTAGGTTTGTTACAGTTATTTCTCTTGTCTAAATAAGACCATTTTATATGATTAGGCTGAGTAAATAAACTTTTCATTAAGTATCTGTACTTACAAAAACCCCCCAAATTTTGACTATTAACTTACTAATAACAAATACCAAGGGTCCGTTGGATTTGGGAATTCTTTTTTGGGAGGGGCTGCTGGCTGTTTTGATTTGGTGTTTTTGTTGTTGTTGTTGTTTGGTTTTTGGTGTGTTTTTTTTGTTTTGTTTTTGTTTTTTTGGTTTTTTGTTACACAAAGCCTGATAAGGCTATTCAAAGGAAAATGAGAATGTGTATTTCCCAACCAGACTGTATAATTTAGCCATTGCATCTTTCCTTTCCTTAGTGGAAAATGCAAAACTCTTACCATATGAAGTCACTTTGAAGGCATCCCAAATAAAGGTTTGAAGATAGTCAGGACCCTAATTTATCCTGAAGAAAGAAAATACTACTTATAAAGGAATGCAGACTGTAAAAATCATCCAAGAGGCAGCAGTTAAACCTTTCTTGGAATAGCTACAGCTGAGGAGAGAACGGACACCAAACACCAACTAAATATTGCATAACAGGTGACAGAAGCAAGCAGTACCAAATGGGAAACTATTCTGACCCATTCAAATGCAGATTTTTTCCAAGGTTTTAAAGGAAGAAGAGAATTGTGTAATGCTTGTTTTTACAAATCCTCTTTCATAAGATTCCTCATAAAGTACATGTAGTTAATGAGAAGACAGTCAAATGTAACTAACAGTTATAGAGCATTAGATTACAGGTAGGGAGGAGAGGACATGATGACAGATTATGCTTTCGGTTACCCCAGGTAACTGTAGAGTGCTACTAATTCATACTGCAAGCAATCCTTACAAGCTGGTTTTAGAGAAGATAGAAATAAGAGCTTATCACAAAGTTCTCTAAGAACTGTCCCCACTGATGATAAAAGACATGTAGTTCGAAGAAAGCAAGCACTGTCTTTGGTAGCTATCCATGATACCTGCACACTAGTGGTTTTCTGAAGTTCTGAAGAAAACGGTGAGAAAGCAGAAAGCTGTACTACGTGGATAATTAGAATTTCTGCAGAAAGAAAACCCCAAAAATTTAAAGCATTCTGCAAAGGACCTTCAAACTAAAAGGGTGATGTGCTGTGAAACACAGAAAACAGCCAAACTAAACCACAAACTCCTGTTTCAGAAACAATTGCAGGAAATACTAAAATCCTTCTGTAGCATACTTATCTTAAAACTAAAAGACTAACATTTTATAACCTATAATAATCCTGCTTAGATGCTCTCTGAAACACCACTGCTCTTCCTCAATAATATGCAATTGTAGCTCTAAAAAAGTATTTTTTTCAAAAGGTTCTGCTAAGCCTAAAAACAACATCTGATTTAACAGTGTATGTTTACAGCTTTTCTAGTATCTCATGCTCGTGGAGAAGAAATTTTTCTGGTGGCCATAGAAGTAGTGGATAGCACAACACTCATGTAGACTTACATGTATACACCAATCCCACTCCTTCAGTCTGCCCACAAAGCGATGGAAGAGCATTTTGACATATGGGAACACACAGCCTAAAATCTTGCAGAATGATGAGAAATTACTCTGAGCTGAGAGTGGCACTCAAGGCTACACAAACCAGCAGTTAACACATCCCCACTGTTAAAGAAACATGGATAAAGAAAGGTGAGAGAGTTCTGTTTGCACTCAGCTTTTGTTCCACACCCAAGGCCACTAAGCAGCAAGGCAGTCATGTTTCAGTCACAAGTACTTCCACTGCAATTCCAGGTATTGATTTATGGAATAAGGACCATTACCCCCCAGTTAATTTAACCAGGGGTAGAGAACGAAAAGGAGAAGAAATCAAAACAAATGCTCCCTTACTGAACTGTAATGCAACTACAGTAAAAATGTGAATTCCCTCATAGAGCCTTTGTCACAACAACTACACTGCACTGAGAGTGCTTGCTGGCACAGACACAGCTTATGTCGACAGAAGATGATTTTCTGCTGACATAGCAATCCCATCATTTCAAACAAACTTTGTTCTTTCCTTGCAGAGGAGGAATTTTCTACCAATATGCTGTTTCCTTGACCTGTCTGCGTTGCCCCAGCTGGACCTGCTCTGCCAACTTATATGAAGAATCACAAACTTAAGAATACTAAAGTAAATTTAATTTAACTTCATGAAGAATTCTCACTCAAATCTGTGAAGTAATAAAATGTTATAGAGACTTCAGAAGAGGAAAATGATTAAGTAACAATAAAATTGATGAACATAAGAAATAGTCAACTTTGATATTAAACTGTTTTTTTCCCAAGCCCTCTACATAACTTACAATACTCCACTTCCAAAGATCAAACGGTGAACTTTACCTGCTATTACAAACCCAACTTTTCCTTCTTTCCTAAAAAAGGAAATGTAAAAGACTAATGCTTATACTGTCAAAGTCTCTTGAGTTCCTCACACCACCCCAGCAGCAAGTAGACTAGGGGGCAAAGGAAGCTGGGAGAGGACACAGCAGGGACAGCTGATCCCAACTGGCCAAACAGACATTCCATACCATATAAAAACATGGTCAGTGTACAAGCTAAAGGCAAAGCTGGAGAAGCTTTTCCTACTTGGGAACTGGTTGGAACTGGGCAGTGGGTGGTGAGCAACTGCACTGGGCATCACTCGTTTTGTATATTCTAATTCTTTTATCATTATTGTTATCATCCCTTACTTTTCTGTCCTATTAAACGGTCTTTATCTCAACACAAGAATTTTTCTTTTTTTTTCCTGATTCTCTTCTCCATCCCACTGGGGATGTGGGGTGTTGAGTGAGTGCCTGTGCAGTGTTTAGCTGCCTGCTGGGCTAAACCATGACATCCAGTCAGCAGGGACCTCCTCAGACTCCCAAGACTTCTAATACAAGATCAAGAAAGGCCTTGCCATAACATCCCATGGGTCTTTCAGTACTCCAGGACAAAATCCATCAGGCCCCAGGGACTTCTGAACATTCAGTTGAAACAGTTGGTACCTGACAGTGTCCACAAATGAAAACTCACTATTCCCACACCTGTAACCCTCAGACACAGGGTACTGAGCAGCCCAAGGCCTTTCATGTTTTTTCCCTGCATGTAAGAACCATGGTTCCGTATCCTCAAATTCACTTAAAACCAAGAGGTTTCTAGTTGGCAACTCTGATGGCAAATGTTACAACCATATTTCAAATAATGATTGCAAAAAGAAAAAAAAATCAATCAAAATCATTAAAGAGTTTGGGCTTGAATTTCAAAGTACATTACACATTTTTTAATATTATTGGGGAAAAAATACAGCACAAACAGGAAGCTCAGTTACAACAAAAATTCTTTTAATATACCTTTATTCTACCCTTAGAAGTAACATATCATGTTTTAGGAAAGCATATTATTTAACATTTGTTACATCTGAAGACAAGAATGTACTTTAAGATGCCTAACTAGGAATCACTGGTCAACCACAATAAGCTATGATACTAAGCTGATACATATCCTTTCCAGTAACAATGACAACAGGGTGGAGTGTTCAAAATGGTATTTATACCAGCAAAAAATATTTCTTTAAAGTTTAATTTCCTTAAAGTTCAAGATTATTGTCTGTTCTGGAAACAAAGAAAACAATTCTGCACAAGTCTGAATTCTGGAGACAAAAGCCCACACCCAGAAATATGGTAACATGAAGAATGATGAGCTGGTAACTTTGAGAAAAATGTGTAATTTCAAATGCAGAGACTGGATTCTGATACATGCAATTTTTGCTGTAGTGACTTAAAAAGACAACTCCCTTCAACTATCACTTCAACTCTCTTGAGGAGGTTAACATACCAACAGAGGAACTTCCAGAAGGGAATGGATGTCTACAGTTATTTAGGACTTTAACACAAACCTATGTTCTGTTACACTGTCATGGGCTGCTGCAGAAGCAGCTCAGGTACAGGCACATTTACTCAATAACTGCACTGGAATTACAATGTTGACATAGTAAAAGACAAAGAAACAGTATTTTTGTTGAATAATTTTCAAGACAGTTCGTAACTACTCACTGAAGTTTAATCCATGAGATTACATAATCTCCAATTATAATACTGAAAAGACTAAGAAACGTGTTAATTCTTTTTGTTATTTTTAATCAGTAAGCACATAAACTGAGGAACCACCTTACCTTACAGAGTTTCTGCTCCTGTTTTCTATTTTCATTAAAATTTGTACATCTGACTGAGGAGATCCTGTATAGATTTTTAATCTGAAAAGAAAAATGAAAAATGCAGTAAAGGTGAAGAAACAGTAATATACCATGACTTTTCTTCCTATCATCCATAAGAGATGGATATCTTTTGCATGCCAACAACCAAAAGAATGTACCTTTTTTCATGAAGACAGTTTGCCACATACTAAGTATTTCCTATAAATGAGGGTTATAATTACTAGTACGTTTTTCTAATTACTCTTAAGAAAAGATTTACTGTCCCCTCGATTGAGGTTAATTATGGTTACATTTTTTAGAATTAGTTACTTTATTTGATCTTTATGCCATGAGTCGATTTCTTAATCTTTTCCTGGTTTAAATTTGGTGGTTATACCCCAGGGTTAGTTGGTTGGTGAATGTTAGGATCATACAATGTTTCATCACAGGAATTAAAGATGTACTGCTGACAGGGAACTCAGCTCTGCAAGCTGAAAGTGCAGCTAATTTAAGGTATTTATTCAGAACCATTCCCTTCTTTTATTAGTGCACTAGATGAAATAGGCAGAAAAGTTACTCAATACACACCTTTGACAAACTACAGGATCTGACTCCACTGGATCAATGTACGGCTTAAGGATATCAGCGAGTGTTTTATCGTCAGGCACCCTTTCACCAGAGATAAAAATCAAATATGTGAGACATGGTTCATCATGTACACAAAAATCTATTATGAGTCACCTGGAGGAACCTGTATATTTGCACGCTAGAGTGGCACAACTGCGCAGTTTATGGGAGGATAATAAATGTGTACCAATACTGCATAGACATCGGCAGCTTTATCTCAATTTCAGCACTGGAATTTCACAGGCATGTACAAGGAGTAAACAGATGCATCTCTAGTTTCTAACCCTGCAATAGAAACATGCTGTCCCTACAGCTCTAGAAGCAGACAAGGGCATATTTCTCACCCCTCTTCAGGTTAGGAAAAAAGGAGAAAGATTTGTCAACAAAAGTTTATTTTTCAGCCTTTTCAAAATGTGCTTGTGGGCTTTCCTACAAAGCAAACAATGCAACCATATCACCCTATATGAAGGTCAGCTCCAGCGTGCAAGCAAGGAGGGATGGCAAATCTTGCTGAACATCTGCTCCATGAGAATACAGTATTGTCACGTGTATGGGTATTGCTATTATGGATACACAAGCTGCTGTTTACATAGAGAAAAGGATTTACAACCAAGCATTCTGACTGATTTGGAAAGCCTGCTAGCTTTCAAAGAGGAAAGGACTATACAATTTCACAATATTTGTAAAAATTTAAATGCCCTTTTAATTAAGACTAAAATTAATACCCAAGTTTACCTTATGTAATAGAACTAGATAAGAATTGATCAAAACATTTTGCAATTCAACTTCAGCAGATTAATTTAACCTTTATAGAAATCCATTTTTCAAGCTCTGTACCGTTTTAAAGTGTATTCAGCGTGACAGTGAGGAAATACAAGCTTCAAATGCCAGTAGAACTTGTTCTCCCTGAAAAAAGAAATGGATATTCTTAGTGTCAGCTGATAACTGCTACTTATTTTTTCTATTATAAAGTTTGGTAGCCTACAACATGGGTGCAGGAGAAAATACATAGTTAAGATTTTGAATGGCTTCGAAGAATAAAAGGGACATGCAGAGAAGCTGAGATGCCCTTTGAAAGATGCAATGCTCCCATATCCTGCTGAACTTCAAGTCCTCATAGGATGAAAATCTGTTCCTTACAAATACACCAATTAACTGGCCAACAGTATTTCACATTTTAAAAGAGAGTATATTCCACGTGCCCTTTAATTTCATATCACACAGGACAGATTGTCAAACCTGTACAGCAATAACAGCCAGAAGTCCCAGCTGCAGCCAGATCCTCACAAAACACAAAACAGGGGACCCGCCTTTTCACAGCAGTGACGGCCTCAATAGAAAGTCTGTCATGGCCAAGGAAGGAAGTTGCATTCTGACATAACATGGATAAGAGAAGTTAGAAAGACTAAATATTTTACTGAAAGACTGTAAAGCTTTTGGTAGAGACCAAAAGTGATGTCAAATTCCTTTCTTCTGTGTGTTCGTTGTTAGTTTTAAGACCCATCTTCCCTTTCCAGCTAGCATAACTAATACCTGAGAACAGAAGTTACTGAAGCATAGTTCCAGGGATCTTAAGAAAGGAAGTGTTATCTAGAGGACACTTTCCTACATCAGGAAATCTCTTCTTGCCTTTTTGCTCATCTGCAGAAATCAATACTGACTTAAGACAAAGCATTTTTCCTCTTATTGCTCCAAATTCTCCCATTCAGTATGTTGAGTGTAACAATACCTTTCTAAAAGAATCCCCTAAGAGAAAGCACAGTCTAAAAGGTTCACGGTCCTTTGCTCTGGTTCAGAATTTTATATGACAAACAGCAAAAATTTAGAAATCAGAGGCCAAACATCTACATGAAGCATAGGAACGTCTAATGGCATTCTCCCTGCCTTTTTTTAAACTATTTTTTCAACACTATTTAAGACCAATGAATCACTGTATCCAGAATAATCAACATCAATTATGAAAAGATTCTGGTTCTACAATTAAAAGTAAACACAGTGTTGTTCCAACATGTTGTGTTATTTGTTTATCAGGCAGATGAAACATTATCCAGCAGGTTCTAGCTGGCTGCAGAGACAAATGTATGTGCATCCAGTAGCAAAACAGTAGACTTAGCTGCTAAGTTTAACTAAGTATTATATCAATTTTTAAATGCATGCACTTTTTATGAAGTGTTCTTACCAAATAAATAATCAATCCCTTACCTAGGTAAAGTCAGAAATGTTACCAAAAAAACAGCGAGCAGGAACACCAGCTCCAAAAAGCTAATAATTAGAATACAAAGAACTAATGAAGGCCAAGGTCCCCAAAGAAACATGTGCCTCAGTAGAGTTGTGTATCAGGCCTCGTGATTCTTCCCTTCTCTCTGCTCCTGTTTGTTAAAGTTGAGAATGAGAATGCCTTTCTTAAATGAGAAGGTGAAATTAAGAGCCCATCAGATCTGAAATAGGTAAGAGAACTGTGCAACCAGAGCTGAAGGATAACACAGAAAACACTCTTAATTACATAGCATGTATACCCACCCAGAAGCTGGCACAGTATCTGGCCCCATAATTTTTATGCTATTTTGCACGTTGGTATAGTACTGCCTTAAACTACCAAACTGCAAAAGGTTCTGAAATAACTCAGAATTAGTGAGTGGAATTTTGGAAGTTTTTTGCAAGATAAGTGAAACGAGGTTTTGCAATTCTTATCTTGATAGCTAAAGGGAGCATCAATACTACCACACAAGCAGAGCTAACTGGAATATCAATAGTGTTATGTAACCAGTTCAGCTCTCTTGTGATGAACAAGTTTGTGATTCCTCTCAGACATGTTAATATCTGTCGTTTAACATGGAATGGTATTATTTCAAAGCACTTTCTCAGGTAGACTTTAGGTAAAAGTTAGTAAGCTTTAGACACAGAAACAGGGTTACCATCATTAGCTGCAGGAAACAGTAATGATGGGCACATTTATTAAAATGCTTTTAAGGACTGTTCAGATGAGGGTTTTGTTAATAACTGAAGTGAGGCTTGCTAGTATTTTCTCATCTTCCACAACTTTTTCAAACAGACCATATTTATCTAGTCTAAGTGACCTGCCCTTACTTGTGATACGGACTTTCTGTCAAATTTTTAAACCAAAATGTGAGTCCTGCAGATCTTCCTCTCCCAAGAGGAAATAGACAAACTGTGACACAGCTCACAGAAACATGTATGTGGCCAAGAGAGTTGTCTCTAACACAGGCACTTGAAAAAAAAAATGTTTCAGAAAAGTGCTTCTAGCTGTCTGCTACCTGTTGTTGAAAAAAGAAATATTCCAGAAAAGTACTTCTAGCTGTCTGCTACCTGTTGTTAGGCATACTCTTCATGTGTCAGTAGAAACGGTCATCACAAAGCACATTCTCATTTCACATGCAAGACTGGTTCCCTGTGGGCTCACTGAGGCAGACTCAGTTCATCACTGCAGCTGTAAAATCAGCTTAAGAGGGTTCTTTTCAGACTTCCGCCCTCCCTCCCCCTTCCAGGCACAATCTGGTCTATGGAATAGTTCACAGAAAGTGCTATGAATCAGGGAAGCTGAAGTTAAAAAACTCATTCCTTGTCAAAAGTTTCACTTTGGAAAAACAGAAATGTTGATTTTTTTTTTCCAGCAAGCTAACACAAATTGCAGTTGACTTCATCTCTCTTCAAATGGAAGTAAATGGCAAGCAGAAACAGGCAAGATAGATTAAGAACAGGGTAGAAGTAGGCAAAACAAAAAGAAGTTGAGAACTAGAACAGCCTCTTCCCTGTACAATGAACTCTCTGCTGGGTGCCTGTTATTGAAGTGAAGCATCCCTCACCATCACTGATCTCTGCCTAGTTAGAGAACTGATGTCAACTGTAGATGCTATCAAAGCTGCTTCACAACAAGTTCTGATTAAAGTTAGATATCCTGGCTCCAGATCTCACTGACCTAATTTTCCATTATGGCTCATTAGGGTAGTATTTCCTTCAAATACAACGGATATGTATTATGTTCATTTTCTAAACGAAAATGCGTAATTGAGTAAGTCATCTGCAGTTGAGTAACAGCTCACTCCATGAAGTGTTCCATGCTGCTCTGCTGCCATGGAATGCCACTCCACGGTTTTTTGGATACCAAGAAACTAACTATAAAACTACCAAACACCAGAGATCTGGATGAGGCACAAGCACATCACTGATGTCAGTAAAAGGAGCATCACAGCCCATCCCTGCATTGCTTGGCTTCACATCCTATGCTGGCTACTTCAGAAGCATGGAAACCGATCACAGGGAAAAAGAGCAGCCAAGTATCTCTTCCCTTGCATGCGATGTAGCTGCAAAATATGTTCAGAACTGCACAGACTGTTTCGCAACCATTATTCTTCTAAAGCAAAGTAACTATCTACCTTTCATTTCTGCTAAAACTTCCAAAAACTTATTTTCTATAATCTACTGTAGATTTCACAGAACTACGTGTAAACGATTTTAAAATTTTTCACAGCAACAATGGAAAGATTTTTATTTCTGACGTTACAAAGACAGTACCAATATATAAAACACGGCTGTTATCTTAGCTGGCTCTCAGAACAACTGCAAAAATCCTCACCACCTTTTACAGTTACTGCAGTATCTGGGAAGATGCTCAAAGTACTGCAGGTACAGGCAGAACAGCAACTGGGCATTAAGGGACAGACCTACAAAGGATTTGGACATACCTGTTAAGTGCCTTGGCAGATTTTTAGAAGTTTTAATGTTTACATAGTTCTCAAACATTTATGAAATATCTCATAAAGCTTAACTTTCTTACCTAGGTTTCCTCAGAACATTTCCTCCTAGTTTAGCCTAGAATGCAGCAGAAGGTTTAAGATATATATAATCTTTTTAAGTGTGTGTATATATGTATGCAAACTAAAACCTATATTGACAAAAATTTTAAATTCCTCACAACCTAAGATACCAACTGCAGTTCTGGCTCTGCAGAACTACTTCACTGCCAGCTTCTCAAAGATAGTGATTCACTCGTGATTTTGCTTCTATTTAGCAACTAATATTCTCAAAATGTTTTAAAAACACTATACAGGACATCTTGCATCAAAGTGTGAATGCTGTCGTATTTCCTCTCTGTGTCATTTTGGACTCATAAAAGAGATTAAAAGGACATGAAGAAGTTTAATGACAGACCAGTTGTCCTTTCATCTGACAATACCCAGTACTCTCATATATTGCACTGAAGTTTAATAAAAGTACTGGGTGTTCAGTATGCATACTTTTGGATAATACTGCCTTCCTCAACCTTCTTAAGTAATGAAGATTCAGCCCAAGTAAGGGAAGACATTCTCTTAAAAAATTAAATTAAGAGAACATGTAGAGATGTGATTTCATCTCCTCTGGTCCCCTGAAACTCTGTGTTCCTAGTGCCAAATTGACTTTCTGTACTACTAACAGAAGCAGGAAAAAGAGGATGTCTCTGTCTTCTTGAAACTTTATCAAGCTAATTCCTGGATTTGAAATATACACAGCAAAAGTGAAGTATTTCTACTGAAAGTTTGTATGTTTCCTAGTTACAGTAAACAGCCAGACAATCAGTGAAGACACTGAAGTGCACTTCCTCTGTAAAACATGTGGTCTTCTATCAGGGGGCCTCAGAAGAGCAGGGACGTTACTAACCATGTGTGCTGCAATATCAAACACACCAGGCTTGAACTGAGAGCCCTGTGTAAATCAAAGGGACACTGTCAAGGCAGAGTAACCTAAACTATAACAATAATCTTTAAAGATTAAAACTACTGTCTCCGTTACTTATGCAAATAAAATTACCACCAGATTCACTATGAAAATTATGCATTTCAGTTGCAAAAAACTAGAAAAAACTAATTCTAAGGTACAGAATTCACATGGGGATGCCCTGAAAAGCTACTGATTTACTGAAATGCCTGAACATCCTGCTCTCTGACCAGCCCAGAGTAGCATTCCTATGCCTGAGAACTTACTTTAGTGGGACCAAGAAAGCAAGCAAAACGATGTACTAAGTAACAACTAAATTCAAGTTTAACAGCTCCCCCAGTGTAATATTAGTCCAAAACCCAGCTCAGAAATCTCCTTGTTAAATTCTCAAGATTGTCAACACTTCAAACAATTTATTTTAATTATTCCTATCTAAGTTAAGATCAGAGTTGACATTTTAGGGCTTTCAGGTGTACCTCACAAGTAGCTTCTGTAACACTGATATTCTCTAAACTGATGCTAAGCCCCGATCTCCAGACTATATTTTGTTCTCACAATTAAATCAAAGGAGAGAGAAAATGTAAAAGCTTCCTCCTTCTCCCACACATATCCTCTGACCAAATGTTGTCCAGCTGCAGGCATGCCTTCCACAAGGGAAGAGACTTGTAGCCCTCTGGGCTCTCTTGGCAGGGAGGAGAGGTGAAAAGGATTTTGTCTGGGAGATGTCGTGAATGGAGCAGGTAGGAAGCTGGGTGGAGATGCCTACGACAGTGCAAACAGCAGGGAGGGTCGGAGCAGGGCAGCACAAGCTAAAGAGTTGAGAGAGCTGCACTGCTCCATTTCAGTCTCTCACTACTGCCATCATCATCTCCTGCCAGGGAACCAGGAGCCACAGAGTTGCAAGGTCTCTCCATTCTTCTTGTATCACCTGCTGGCTACAGCTTCCCAGTTGCTCCTCCGTGCCTTGTCCCAACCTGGCCACGTTCTCCACCCCTTTCCCAAAGGCCTCCTATTACAGTAAGTCATCCCACCAACTCCACAGCAGAATGCATCCAGTGGGGAACTTTCAATTCTATTGGAAAATAAAGGCACCACAGGAAAAATAGGATGAAGCAGCACATTAAAAATAATTTATAAGTCAGATGTACCATGAGTTCACAAACTGGACGCAGACTCTACTTTCTAATGACCTTCCATTATCTAGGTATTCAATATGACAAGTTAGTCTAATCTGCGTGTTGCCCAGCATTGGCACGTATGCTTTCACAACATCAAATTTAGCAAACAAACTAATGGAAACCACAAAATGAAAAGGCTGGTTAACACATTGAAACAACACTGATCTGTCCTCCAGAGTTGGCAAGGGCAGGGGATGACACAAGAATACATCTTGTACTTCCTAGTTTTGGATTACTCTCGTTCCTGCCTTGTACAGCCCAACAGTTGGCTTGCAGGGAGAGCGTGAAGAGGACATCAGAGAAGACTGTTCTCAGTTTTCCACACACATATGTTGAGCAGTTTCCAACCTCCACCCTTTGGAGCAATCTCTTTACAAATCTCAACTGACAAACAGCATGAGAAGAGGTTCAGATCTATAGAAGAGGGACACACTAGGCCCTGAGCTCATATAACTGACACGTGACTATTTGCACAGTTTTACCCAATCTGAACGTAATATTCAACAAAATGTTATGGGTGTCATGAAGTCACATGGGACAGGTGTTAAATGCCTGATATTCACTGGTTTGATCAAACTTGATTCCTCAGGAACCCATTTAAGAAAAGTCAGTAGAACAAGCCAATTAAAGAAAAACAAAACTAGCTACCAAAAAACCCAAAAAAGAACCCCAAAAACCAGGATAATTTTTAATCTGCATCGTTGAATTCAAACAGCCCATTGTTGTGTGAGCAACAGTAGCAGCAATAGAGAGGAAATGTATCCGTTGTGTAATATTCACTGAGCGTATTCCATACCTCTGGACAGCCTCTACAGGAAAAAAACAGTTACTTCCTATCCTCTTCAGAACAGAGAATGTTATCATGTTCTTTCTAGTGGGATGTGAAAGCCCCAGAAAGGTTACCATTCCACATCAACAACAAAAGTGCCCCATGACTTTACAACTGATAAAAACCAGCAAAGCATTCTCCCAGTCAGTCTGTGAAATATTTCCGTGCCTATTTGCCAAGAAGTCACCTCCTTGCCCCATTTTTAAATCTGCTCATGTTCAACAACAAAAAGCACACGATACACATGAAAGCATAATCTGCTCAAAGCTTAGTTTGTTCTCAGCTAAAGCTATGCTTCAGAGTGTACCCAAAAACGCTTTCTGGAGGAAAGAGAACATGGTATATGAAAGCAAATTTCTCCCAGCACAGCACTGTACCATGGTCAGGATCTTCTCAAAAATGTCAGCCCTCTCTGTATTTGTGCTCTTTCCATTCTTCTGTCCTCTTAGCTACGGGATGCAGCATCCCTGGGTTTCCTGCACTTGATCTTACAGACTACTCCTTGTTCTGTACTTGTTAAGGGTGTTCATGTTGTTTTATCCATAACATTAAGGAAATTCCCCATGAACGTGAAACTCAGCTCTAAGCCAGAGATATTACAACAGCAGGAGACAAGTAAAAGGTATCTGTAAAATGCAGAGCATGCAGCCAAGGAAAAGAAAGTCAGTGCAGAGGGACACAACCTCTGCAAGTTTTGGGATTACAACCTGGTCTGTTATGATGGGAGAGCCTCAGGGACCTATTAATTTGGGGTAGAGGGAAGAGAAAATACCTCAGATTTCCATTCTTTTCACCAGTTCACTGTGGGTTTTCTCTAGTAGAACCAATAAAATATGTAACTTTAAAAGGTTACACTTCTACACCTATTTTATGCCTAATGTTCTTCTGAAACCTAATATACTTACAAAAACCATACCCTGCGCTTTTGCCCCAAAACAGCTTGAACAATACAGGTGAGTCTACTAAGAAGTTTCCAGCTGGTTATTACTCTGTCAGAGACAGACCTCTGGTGGCCAGCCAGTGCCTGACACTGCAGAGCACACAGCTACCAGAACAGAGGGAAAAATACATCCTGAAAACACAACTTGCCACCAAAACTGAGACCATGAAGGAAACAAGCGAAGGAGCCATCAGGGGGATCCAGCACAGCTCACTGCAGTGAGAAGCTCAGAAGGCATTTATATTTGCCCCAATATATCACTGAGCTGAACTCTAGACCTGATTGCTGTCACAATAAAATACTTCACAATTTGTTTTTACTGTGAAAATACCTTAAAATACAAAATCTAGATATCAGAGAAAACCCACAGAGCAGATAAAGGGAAGAATATTTAATCTCCTAAGCCTTCTCCCTGAATTCATATCTGACTGTCTGCATTTGTCTAAGCTGTGCTGTACCAAACATTCACATCCTCTAGCACAGGCAACTCCCATCACAGTATGCAACTCAGAACTGTATTGGAAGCACCTCTTCAGACTTGAACTCAGCCTTTTCAGAGAGAGGAATTTGTGCAAGCCTTCTGCATCAATCCCCTATCATAAAACTTTGAAGAAGCGTTTTCTTCTTCCAGCAACAAAACTCAACGTTAATTAAAAGAAAAAAACACACCTACTATTACACAATGTTAGTATTTTTCAAAATAAAGCATCAATGATGTAAGCTGTTAAACTGAGCTCAAAGAGCATAAAAAATGAAAACCTGAAGCATGAAATATTAACTCTACATAGTTTTTACAAAAAAGAACGTGCATCTAACAGATTTTAAAAGCAAGTGTATTGGTATGAACTCAAATTCTCATCATTTTATGCTTAGTGAAAACAAAATATTGCTGACTGTAACCAACTGAAGACTCACGTGGAATTGAATGTGGTTGAATTTTCTCTTCTTTTTGTAAATCCCACAGGCAGTGTTTTCAGCTCAATATTACACCCTCGAGCTTTGTTTCTCAAGCACTGTAACTGGCAAAAAATAAAAACAGTGTTTAAAAAACTCTGAATAATATATTAAAAACCCGAAAGTTATAATAAATATAATAATATAATAAAAAGCTGACAGGAATTATTAGAAAATTGTGGAAAAGGCCATATTTAACATAATACTTTGAATTAAAAAAAAAACACCTTTCAGGAGTAATTTTTCTATGATTAAAGAAGAAGACATCAATGGCCTCTTCATAGTAAAAGTTCTTTAACATACCATGGAAGTCACAACCTGCTCTTTTGGGTATAATACCCCCATGTGGCTGCTTTTTGGGCAACAACCCCGATAGCAGAAGGGATACACAAGCACCATCTCAGATATTGACAAATTCTGATTTGAAGGTAGCACTACAGGTATCATCCTATAAACATACCCAGTACCACACCCCAAAGACTGCTACCTATCTTACCATCTTCAGCCCATGTTTTCAGGACATCATGGTACCAAGCACATACACAGAGTATGACTCCAGTCTGAGGGAAAGCTGGAGTCTTCTGAATTTATTCTGTCATCAACATGAGTTCTCTCCAAGTTCAGTGCTATATTTAAAGATGTCTTCACAAGACTGTTAAAAAAATGGCCCTGATGCCTTTTTGTGACATATCAACAAGTCAAAATATATTTGTATCAGATTTGGTTGGTTGGTTGGTTTGTTTGTTTCTTTGGGAGGTATGTTTACTTGATTGGTTGGTTTTTGAAAGAGCTTCAACAAAAGCCCATTCACCTTTAGAAGGCTGGCTTTTAAGTCACAGTTGTGTAGACTTGTTCTCTGAAGAACATTAGGTGGCTTCATTTAGCATATAGGGAAGCACATAATAATTTTTAGGCAACTAATAAATCCATTGCTTACCTTGGAATTTTGTACTTAAAAATTCAATAGTATTGGTGAGGTGGAAGGAAACATTCAGGCTTTCTTAACACACATCTATTATCCAACAGTGACAGTGATCATGCATCAATTTTAAGAACGTACACAGTTAGCCATCTATTCTTCTAAGCAACTGGACACAGCCATCAATACAATTTTTGCATAAAACCTAGAGACTCCTTTTGATTTCTAGCTCTAAAATTCAGGGCCATACCTTCATAGAAGAGGTATCGGCTCTGAAATCTGGACTGGAACTGTCTCAGTGGAAATTCGGAGGTAGTCAACCCTAACAGACCAAGTGGTTAGTTAAAAACTTACAAGTCTTTTTGTTGCTGGACTATGCACAATACAATGTCGAGCAGCAGCATCAGCTGTCCTTGATACATCTTCCAGGAAACGATAATCTGAAGATAAAAAAAGAACACAGAGAAATGCAGTGCTAACCTAGTAAAAGCAAATAATTTTAAAAAGCCCAAGGTACGTTCTTACCACTCAAAAGGTTCAAGTCAGTAAATTCATTTACAGAGACAAACGCTGTTTTGTCCCTCACTCCGTTACAGCTCAGTGCAAGCTTATGTTTCTTTACACACAACAGACTGAAACGACAAAAGGAAAAGACAAACATGTTTAGTACATAATGGAGAAAATAACCAAAATAGTTTAATTCAGATAACAGATACCTGCACGAATATTTCATGCATCGTGGACATCTGTATTTAGCTTCTTCTTTGCTACAGGTTTCACATCTGAAAGAAGTAAAAAACACGTCTTAATGAAGCAGCATCTTTGTGCCTGACTGGCCTAAGAAGGTGCCTGCTCAACAGCCAGGCACTAGGCCATCCATGGCATTTTCGGGAAAAGCTATCTGCACTGCGAAAGAAGAGAGAAAATACAAATGCCCTGGATTAAAAAGGTGGCAGACAAAACAACACAAGCTACGGGGAATATCTCCAAACACATACATACTAAAACACAGTGCATGTACCAGGAAGCAAGAAAAACCCAACCCATGCTCAGAGCTGGAACCATAGCAAGCCTTTAGCATTTTACTCTGTGGCCTGGTTGTAGCAATGCTTTTCTCCATTCACATCACCTGTAATGTGCACTGTATCACGCTGGCTTATAATACTCCCAGTTTTAGGCAAATAGAAAATAAATGCCGAGGATTCAGAATAAAACACTCTTTTTTTCACTGAAACAGAAAGACTATAACAACATGGTCAGCCAAACAACTTCTGGCTGTCAGCAGTGCAAACTCCAAAGTCAGGGAACCTTTCAGACATAATGTGTAACCCTTATGAATACAGCTAACAAATATTATATCAGTAAAAAAAAAGAAATCCTCTACAAATATGATCTTATGCTTTTTAACCAGGCTATTACAAGGGATGTTTCTCCTATTCGTAGAAAAAAGTTCTTGATATAGTAACTGAAACAATCATAACTTTTCATTTATTTTAACTCTGACAAGCAGGGGAGAGAAATAATCCTTCCCGCAGTTCAGTAAAGTTTTCTTGGTATAAAGCCACCATTTCCGAAGGCTAGAGGCGGAGTGTCAGCCTCAAGCCTTTTCTCTGCCTCTCCGCACCACGTGCTTGCTGCCCGCCGGCAGAGGGGTCTGAAGGACAAGCTCAGCAGTATCACCTCCTGACGAGCCGGTGGATCTGTATACCGGCAGCACGAAGTGTTAAAAGAACCCGAAAAAAGTGCTTCTTTTTTCTGCAGTATCTCTGCAGTGCCGGCCGCACCGCAGCGGTTCAGAGAGAGCTGTGCCGGGCGTGCCGTGGGGCCCTCGCTCCTACGGGAACGGCCCCGCCCGCTGAGGGAAACGAGAGGGCGCGGGGCTGCGGGGCACAGGATCCCCGCCGTGCCGACCCTGCGCTGCCTCTTCCCTCCGGCGGCCGCGGGGGCGGCGGGAGCGCGGTGCCGGCCCTACCTGTGCAGGGACATCTTCCCGCCGCCCGCGGCCCGCGGGGCGCTGCCCTGGGCGCTGCCGGTGCCGCCGCCGTCCCGCTCCGCCATGGCCGCGCCGCCGCCCCGCGCGCGGACCCACGGGCCGGGCGGGGCCACAGCGCCCTCCCCTGCGCGGCGGCGCCGCCTGGCGGCCGCTCCCCACACCCGCTCCCTCACCGGGCGGGACGCACGTCCCGGTGCCGTAGGCTTTCCGAGACACACCGGAGGCTTTCCAAAACACACCGGAGGCTTTCCGAGACACACCGGAGGCTTCCGAGACACACCGGAGGCTTTCCGAGACACACCGGAGGCTTCCCGAGACACACCGGAGGCTTTCCGAAACGGGCGGTTTCGCAACACGGTTGCGGCTCTTCCCAATCCCGGGAACCTGCCCGTGTCCAGCTGCTCCAGCTCGGCGTCCCGTCCGTCCGCGCGGGAGGAGCATTTTTGCCTCAGCTACAGAAACACACACCCGAGCAGCCTCCCAAAGCTTTAAGCTCCTCGTTTTTAAAATAGATAATTTCTGGGATGCAGAACTTCCAAAAAGAGGACAGTGAGACGAAAAAAATATACATGAAGCAGAACGTTTTCTAAAAGATTATAATCTTAAAAAAACACAGCAAACATTTGTCAAAACATCAGCTCCAAAACCAAACTAAGAGCAAATGTCAAGTGATAATGTCAGTGTTTTGATCTTGAAAATGAAAGAAGTTGGACAGTTTCTGTAACCTTTATCATCACTCTGTGATCTTGTTTTGTCTTTGGTTTTAACAGATTTTCTCAAAGTGGTCAAAACTGATGCTTCGAAACAAAATGTTAAATGGGATATACATGTATGTTACCTTGAAAAGCAAACATTGTCCCCTGGCCATATTCCATGGTGTATAGAATACGCCTTTCCCCTTGGGAAGACAAGCACTGCCACCTAACAGAAGTGCCCTTCCACAGGATTTTCATTCTTACTAAAAATGACCTACACAATACGAAACAGAATAGTAAAAGACAAACAGATAGCTTGGAAGCTTATTTTATTATACTTTGGTAAGTGTGGTTTCCTGAAGATCAAGCAGAACACTCCCCTGCTCCCCTTTACAGTCTGGTATCACCTTGCCATGTACTCCTGAGCACACTTTGAATTGACAATAGGTAGAGGCATATCAATATAAAGAGTGCTTTTGCTAATGGTAAAATTGTTCTTTTTACTAAAAAAATTTAGTTGAACATTTTAGAATTAATTAAAAAAACCAAAATGATCTAATAACTTTGCAAAAAAATTGGAATTTCTTAGAGTATGAAATGCTGTTTGTAGTTTAACAGCAGCTATTCAGAAGACATGCTGTAGTAGATTTTTTCAGAAGTTACAAAATATATACAGAATGTATCATCTGAAGATGGCTTTGGCATTTGCAATGTTAACTGAAATACAGAATCTAAACCTCAAAACTACTTTAGGTAGCTTTTCTACAAGAATTTTTACAATGGCTGTAAAGTAAACTGTTCTGAATATATGCATCATATACAATGTGCTGTCCTATATACCATTCTCCAAAATAGTACACAAAAATATTTTAAACAAGAAATCCACATAAATAATGTTTTCATTGTAGTGAAGTATGTCACCGACCATTTAAAATAAGTACCTTTACAACAGAAACATTTCCTGATGTAACCAGCACATAGAGTCTGAAAGAAAAGGAACTCAAATAATCTCTGCTAAGGCCACAAGCACCTTGTGTTATGAAAAGCACCAAGGTAACACGGACAGGAAACACGGAAGAGGTAGTGTGCCATCTGTTCAGATGTATGTGTCCACAAAGGACTAGAGTAAAACAATGTTTAAGAAAAGAAGACATATTGTACTGTACTGCGGCATGATTCACTTTTCATATATAAGCTATTGCACATTTAGGAGCATTAGCAGATATTGCTCCTTAGAATCATATGCCTCCAGCTTTTCTCAGAATGATTTTTTTGCAGTGGTGTTAAAGAAATTGCTAAGAACACTTGACATCCTGAAAAAATCCATGTTCAGATACTCCATTCCAGGAAATTATGCAAGAAAGCACCAAGAAATTTATTTTTAAATACTTCAGGAAAACTGTTGCAGTCTTTTCTCTCTTTCTTTTATTTTTCAATGCTATTTCTCCTTAGGAGGAAGTCTTTTTCTTCCTGAGGTTCTGTAACCAAGAGTATTTAAAATGATTCTTAGTTTCCTAGTCATTTTGCCTGTAATGGATCATTACTTTTGCATTCAATCTCCGTGTTGATGAAGAAAAAAAAACCAGGACAGAAACCTTAAAGGAAGCACACTGATCCACTTTCTACGAAGTGCTGCTGTCCTGGTTTGAGGTGAGGAAGTGCGTTAACTTGAACCACTGGAAGCTGACTAGTGTCCTGAGTGTGAAAAAAGAACTGTGTCTTATGCCAGCTGCCATCTTCAATCTGCAACACACAGAAGAATATTAGATTTATATAAAAGATGTGCTTCAAAACACAAATGAAAATTGTGCTTATAGAGAGGAAGAGAAGTAGTGCACAGAAACACTTTTTTCTTCTAGCAATTCCTGTAGAAATCATCTAATTTTACAAATGTCATTTCTCCCTTGCAATACCACGGGCACTCTGGGCAAAGCCAAAGCTGGAAAACAGCTGAGCCCAGAATCCACTTGGAGTGGATGCAGACACAGTGCAACATGGCTCAGAGCAGAACACCTTTGCAAGCAAAGTGATCCATATAGATTCAAAATTCACCCCCAAATCTGAACAGCAGGTGTCAGGTTATCAACTTTATAGGCACTTGAATGACCCTGTAGGCCCGTGAAAAATAAACAAGGGAATCAGAGATGCATTGTTGCCATGAGCTTTTTATTGTTTACTCTAATTGTTTTAAAAAAAAATCTCAGAAAAAACTGATACCTCATAATAATTTTAAAATAGTGTTATAACAGTGCCTGAGGCTGGGAGTGCCTTGATGTTTGCAATCAATCCGTTCTTAAAAACCATCAAGTACAGTGTGTTCCACCGAAAAATGGAATCCTTACAGAGAGGGGAATGTGTCATATTCTGCAGCAGATCTGTACAGTACAGTTTCCCACAGAAAGAGTGACACACCTTGTAGAATCTCACAGAAAAATGGCACTTCTCAATAGCCATCTCAGTATGCCCTAATTTTTCTCAGGGAATAAAACAGTCCCAAACAGACTGGAAGGTGGGGAGAAGGGGCTCTAATGCCCATACTTTATCTGCATGACACAAGCTAGAGCATCTAATTAGTATCTGCTAATAAAGGTTGGAAGCATAATGGCTTTGAAATACCTCAATAAAGCCACTTTCTGTTTTGAGATTAAAAATTTCGCTTGGCACCCCGGTATTGATATTGAACCAGCCTCATGTCTTTTGTTATTGCAAATGAAAGTAGAGCTAGAAAATACTGAAAGTGTAAGATGCTTGGTTGCTATATTTCACAGTGTTCTCCAAGACTTTTACAAAATGTCTCAAATCTTGGTGAGTAATCTGAAAATTAATAAGATCTTCCAATTTTTCCTAAGTACATGATTTAACACTTTAGTTAGCCAGGGACTCAATTTCCACTCATTATTATTTTCTGAAATAATCAAACAATTGACTCATAGACAGTGAATTTAAAGGTATTTAGTTGTTCAAAAAATAATATCCAGCCTGTTTGAATCTGAAATTTTGTGTTAAGTAATCTCAACAGAACTCTTACTAAAGTCCGAATTTTCATTTTGGCAGTAACTGTTTCTAAATTTTCCTGGAGGACCTCCTTATTTCTGTGCTGATATCTCTCCAGTGTCTTTATACAGTCTCGAAATATCAGACACAATGCCAGTGTAGATACTCTGTGTCACTGCAATTTGTTTTACCTTTGAATAGATGTTGAATTCAGTATCAAAAGGCTGGCATATGCAGAACTACATAAAGAAGCAAGCTTTAAGGGGTGTGAATCTAACTGATTGTTATTTATCTGCAGAAAGTTAATAATATCTACACAGTAACTCCAAAACTGTTTTAACAACGCTGGTGCTAAGAAATATTTACCATGCATTCATCCATAAGGACCTTTGGTTCAAGCAGCGTATTTGCTTTGAATATTTGACCATTCCATCCTTTGAAGGTAACTGATGTCTTCTGGCCACCTGCTTTGTTTAATCCCCACAGTGGTGTGTTCAGACAATGAACTGTGATGCTGTGGGTTGCTTCTGAGCTCAGTAAATGAAGGAAGTTCATCTGCACTTTTCCAACGCCAAACTCCAGCTAAGTTCCAAGAGGAAGACATGGTTAGACTTACAGCTGGACTATGCTGAATAGCCACAGCAACACCAAGCGCCATGAACATACAAGTGTGGTGTTCAGGCATGGGAGAATGTACACATTTTTATATACATTGGGATCAACACTAAAGAGCACAATTTGCATTCTTCAGGGAAGATGTGAGGTTCTATTACAGTGATTACTATAAACAGAAGCTTTCATAGGACATTTTCAAAGCTTAAATATAAACAGTTGCAAATGCTTATAACATTGCTGAAACACAGCTGGGCAGGAAAAATGTTTTTAAATAAGGAAACCGAAACAAATGCTTTCGTAATTCAAAGATATTATCAGCAGCAGTGTTTTAACTGCAGCCACACCACTCTGCTGTTTAGTCTTCTTAGACCACAGGTTCTGGCAATACCAATATCCCATTACGAATGCAAAAATTCACAAGCATATTTTGATTTTAGACAGAAAATATAGTCACTCATTACTCAACACAAATTTCTCAAAGACTATTTCATATTCAGAGAACTTGCAAATATAGGAATGCGTATGTGAACTTCATGGCATTTCTGATGCTCTTCAGTGACTACAGTGAACATGCAAAATTCCACAAACAAAAAATTTCTTTTCCCAAGAGTTCAAGAACTTCATGTAAAGAGGAGCATGAACTAATGATATAAAGGAAACCAGTCTCTCCCTAATGGCATTTTAAAGTACCTAGGTGTTGAAAAGCAGGCATAATTTTCATCCTTCCCATTGCACAGACCTCAGCATCTCCACACTTTTACTGCCCTGACTGATGAGATACTAATGTAGCTCAGAAGCATTTCAGGCTTATTTTGATGCCTTGTATAGGAAAGTATAAAGCAAAACAAATTAATTCTATCAGCATGGAAACTGAGTAAATGATCACAGTGAAAGTTACACTAACACATACAACTCCAGAAAATCTGTAACTTTTATAACAGAATATATATATATGTTCTTCCTCAAAGATGCACAATACCCCCCCCCCCAAAATTTAACACCTTTTCATGAGTTAAGTAAATAAGCATGCATTAGTTTAGATTTCAAGCACAGACACAGTCTTTCTAGAAGCAATGCATACCTTTGTCACAGACAGTGGTGTTAAACATGTCTGACCACCTGCAGTGAAGTTGCAGAAAACTTCAATGGCATCAGAAGGACATCCAATATTTGGGTCGATCCAGTATTTTCCTATTAGTGTATAATTTCAGATGGAAAACAAAACCAAAATATAGTTGCTACTAAACAGTTTGCTAAAATATTCCATGTTTCTTGGCAAGTATTACATATATAATCACCATAGCTTCACAAAGAAATGAAAGAAAAGGGACATGAAAGTCTTTTCACTATTATAATTATACTACTAACAAGTACTGACCAAAATTATCATAACCATCCAATAATGATTACAATTACAATGAATTTTTTGTGGATCAGATTCTATATAATGAGAAAGGAATATAGAATCTGATCCATAAAACAATTCATTGTAAGATTAGCTATAAATACTTGGAAAACTTTTAATCACAAAATTGGATTCAGTTTCAAATTTTCTGGATACCTC